ATAGGAACTAGTCGTAGAAGAACGAAACGTAGACAGTAGATTGTCTTTGGGTAGGACAACATTCACTGAAAATTTGAAAAGATTTGGTTGAATTCTTATAACAGTAGAGCTTTATCCTTTTTACCATTTTTGGGGTTATTTTTGGTTATTTTTGTTGAAAAAGCAAGGGGGGTGGTCAACTCCCCCCCGTTTTTGACCAAATTTTCTTAAACTTAGACTGAAGTAGTTTTGGCTGAACCCCTTCAAATTGGCCAAGTTTCATCGAAATCGGCGAGATAGCTTGTGCCGCCCCTGCCTGGTCCTACCGTGGATGCACTCTTAAAGTTGTTGTGCACTTACATGTGCCTAAGATAAGGGTAACTGATTTTACCGAGTTCAGATAATCAACTAGGTTAATCAAGAAATATACCACGATCGCTAAGCCAATGAAAACTCTTGAATTACATTATCCACAGGGGCGGATCTAGGGGAAGGGTGCAGGGGGTGCGCACCCCCCTCCCCTCGAGATGAAGACTTCTTCATATTCGCTTTTAAAATTTCTTTACCTTACCAGTCAGTTACGCCATTCCTTAATGATTCATCCCTCCTAAGAAAAATCCTGGATCCGCCCCTGATCCAATAATGCAGTTTTTAATGATGGTGTATTCATCTAACCTTTAAGTGGATTCCGCAATACGTGTTGTCGTTTAGTATCAGATTAGCTAATCACAGTGCTGTGGCTGTATTAAAAAAAAGATCTATGCTTAGGCCAGAAGAATGATATTTTTTTGTGAGAACATTTCCACTTCATTCCTCGATTCTGTGTAATTATTTCATGCACCTTACCGAGGTGTTGTTGGTATCAACGCTTTGTTATTCACCGCTTATTAGCTCGCAAATCCAAGAAGAAGAAAAGAGGAGAGGCAAAATCAAGACCCGGTCAAGACCCTGGAAGTGACCCAGATCTAGTTTCTTCCGGTCAGTTACCAGAGCAGGCGCTCAAGGCTGTTGGCGTGCAGCCTGGTACCAAGCATGATGGCTCGGTCCAGTCTCTACTCGGAGGAAAAGAAGATGTTGAATTGGTTGGTGTTTCACTAACCAAGGAACAGGTAAATGTAACTTGCTACTGCCTTTGGAAGGGATGATAGCCCCAACTCCTAAAGGGTTTTAATGAGGTTTCCTGTGTAGACAGAAGCCCTGTGAGAATGAATTGTCTTGTGTAAGATCCGTCCTGCTCGTTAAACCACAATTCCGTCATTATATTGTTTCCATGACGGTACAAAGTTTATTCACAGATACCATGAAACTAAAACCAGTCAACCTTGCTTCCCAATATAATGACCGTTGGACAAGAAGTAGAGATATCGTTCAGCTAATTTTAACTTCGGCTCGTTATGATACATTCATAAAAGCTTGGTGTAGTAAGAAGGAGCCGTGGCTAAATCAGGGGTAGACTAACCAAATTATGTCAATTAACCAAGGTCATGTCAGCGGATCGAATTTCTACGGATGATACCAATAGTGAGTCTACTTTGACTAATCGTACCTTTGGTGTGCTCTGGACGCGGGTGTTGTTTTTTGCCGATCATATTTAACTATAGATTTAAATTAAGTATAAGACTAAGGTTTCGTCATATAATTGTTTTATTCTTAACTGCAATATTCAATGCACATCCGACCTAGATTAGTTCTTTATTGTTATTAAGGGTGCCGTGTTAGCAACCTCTCGTATTAGATCGTAAATTTTGGGAAAGACTTCTTTCTGTTCCTTTTGGCACAAAGGAACTGCTGTTGTTGTTGTTGTTTTTTTTTTGTACACCGTGGGGCACTAAATTTTTGCGGGTTCTAATTTTTGCGATTTTTGAGATTTTTTCCACGATCCGCAGAAATTTCACGCAAATATTTTCTCCCCCATAAAATTACTCCACTGGCGAAATTATACATTCAAACATAACGAGTTAAAATGTCTCTTTCGTTCAGAAACAAAACGATGAAATGAGAAACAAAACATTCAGAAGTAAAAAAAAAGGTTTACAGGAAGGATCGTCTTAAGGTACTCCATTGAAAAGAGGACCTACAACTCCGCACAAGAGGTCGATGTTATAGTGATAGAGTAATACCGATTACTGGATTAGTGTGCTTTGCATCTCTACATGTTGTTTCACTCGTCAAATGCGTTGCCATTTAAATTAAAAAAATGCGAAAATGTTGTAATTTCGATTAAACGCTACTTCCCGAAAACCGCAAAAATTAGTACCCAGCAAGAAAAATCAGTCTTTTACAATCGCAAAAATTAGTTCCCTCAAAATACGAAAAATCGCCGATTCGCAAAAATAAACTACTCCAAAAACTTAGTGCCACACGGTATCAGTTTTAAAAATTGTTGAAAGCTGCTGTTTTAATTCATTTCTCTTCCATAATTTGCAGTTTGAGGAGGTTGCAAAAATAATAGATTCCAGAGAAGATCTGGGAACAGTCATTCTCCGAAATACCTCAGCAGATGACAGTGTACTAGCGACGCTGGCACCTTCTTTGATAAACGCGCCCACTTTAAAGGTAAGTCCTAAACGGTTAACTTAATGCTAGTTCTGATAATTGTGAAGATCTAGAGAGGATATTTGTCTACGTGGTAAATTGTTTTTTTTTTTTTCCAGATGCTGAACCTAAGTGTGAATCGCATTGGACCGGAAGGTGCTAAACACTTGGCTGACGTTATCAGGCAAAACAAGTCTCTTCAAATGCTATTGTGAGTGCGTTTTACGTTACTTTTGTTGAATTTTTTGTTCTGTTTTGTTTTGTGAAGACTAAAGGAGTAGTACTGACATAATTGTATTTCCACCAAATCCGTAGATGTGACGGATTATGATCGATTGTGACCCTCAAATAGATTATAGCACTGTAACCCTTTAGGCTGACTTCTTAACAGCTCTCTCGCGAGAGTTGAGATGGAAGAGCTGATTCCGACCGATTGCAAGAATGGTGACCAGCTAAATGATAAACAGCTTCAAAAGCGTTTTACCAAACTTAATAATGTATAATTTAAACAAGGACAACTGATAGCTTTTTCAAGAAGTATTCGAGCTTTTCCTATTTATTTTTGTATTTCAATTTTGTTTATTTAATCTTGCTCTTGTGACACTGGTCGACTTTGCAAGAATCCAAATGTAAATGTAAATTTGATGTTCTAATAGCTTCTTCGTTGTTCGTCGGTAAACTTTTGAACTATCAGTTTTTGTGCGGTGTTAAAGACGTAAGAAAGCTGTGGGGTTAATTAACCTGAAGCATTTCTTGTTTCTAAGTTGACATACGTTTAATGCAAGTGACACTTGAAATAAGAGATGTACTAATAAATCAGCCTTGTCGTTTGTCAAGCATTCAGTACCTAAGCGCTGTTTTTTGTTAACCTTTTTCAGATTGCATGGGAATCCTTTAACTGATGAAGGAGTACGAATAATCATTGACGCTATTGTAGAAACCACAGACACGTCAATCATGAACCTGGACTTAGGAGACTGTGGCCTAACTCAAGATGGCGCCAAACACATCGCTAAACTGATTGAGCATAACAGCACTGTTTCTGTCCTGACGATCAGCGGTAACACCATCCAACTCAAGGGTTGGCAGAATATAAGCAAGTCCTTGTCAACCAACAGTACTCTTGAAACCTTGTCTCTTGATTTTAACAAGATTGGCGATGAAGAAGCGATTAGCATAGCTGAAGGAATACGTGGATGTAAAAGCCTTCGTTCTGTTGACTTGGAAGGAAACAAAATTGGCGATGAAGGAGGAAGAAAGTTGTTTGATGCAGTTAAAGCTAACAAGTCAATTGTCGACCTTACACTCCTACCCATCAATCAAATATCTAAGGAAATAGTTGATGAAGTGAAGGATTTTCTTAAAGAAAGAGAGAGAGGGAACGAGCCCGAGGAAACTGGCGGAGATGAAGAACAGCACGAGAATGACTTCAGCGCGCTCCAGCCACAGCAAGACAGTGGAGAACAAGGTTTAGTTACTGAAGGCGGCAGTACAGAGACTTCTCACGAGGAAACTATTAGTGAATACCCTTCAACTCAAGAGAATAGTGAAGGAAGACAAGAGCAAAAAGAAAACGAGGGAGTAAAGGAAGTCGAGCAGGGCGAGGAGCCGCCGGGTACAGTACAGGAGGAACAAGGTAGAGAAGAAAAAGATAAGGAAGCAGATGACAGAGAACAACCATCGGGTGATGACCAACAGAGTGAGAAAGAGGATTCTGCTGCTGAGGAAAATGCTGCTCCTGCGGAGGGAGCTGGCCAGTTGCCTGATGCAGAACATCCCGAACATCAAGACGTTGCCCCGGCTAAAGACGACCAAGAGGGAAATGAACCCCAGCAGGACCGCCAGCATGACCCTCAGCAAGACCTACAGCCGGACCCTCAGCCAAACCCTCAGCAGGACCCTCAGCTGGACCCCCAGCAGGACCCCCAGCAGGATCCCCGGCAGGACCCCCAGCAGGACCCCCAGCCGGACCCCCAGCCGGACGCCCAGCCGGACCCCCAGCCGGACCCCCAGCCGGACCCCCAGCCGGACCCCCAGCCGGACCCCCAGCCGGACCC